AGCAGCTGCCCGCGTTTCTAAAGCACGTATGGTGTTGGATTGTAAGGTGCCCAAGTACGTTTGCGAGGAAGAGAATGTGGCCAGGCTGGAGAGGAAAGTGCAGTGGCATATTGGAATGTGAGATTAGCGTAAGCGAGTTACAGGGCGTTTTATTGCACGGGCGAATTTACGTGCAAATCTTTCACCGTAGCATCAGTCCTCAGTTCATTTCTTGGAACGAACATCAGCATAGGTGCAAGCCCTCTCGCTTGGAGGGATATGCAAACAAACACCCTGATAGGGGTAAACTCGCACGCTACCGAGCATTCAACCGAGCACATGCATGCTTAGTTGAATGGTGAGATGCGACCCCCCCTTCATTTCGCTGCACCTTTGCATTGCGTACGTTGCCCAACTGAAGACATTCCCGGTGGTTGTGCAGCAGCTCTTGAGGCTGTTGCTGGCTGAAATCCATCCTGAGCTGTTGCAACACGGCTAACGCGGGCACGTCCCTATGCACAGCAAATAGCTGTTCCAAGCCAACAGCGGCGTCCATGTCACCGACAAGGCTCTAAACGTCTTATCTGTTCTTATGTTTAATTAAGTTTATGTATGTTATACTTTGCGCAACTTTGTAATTTGACTTTACTCTGAACAAGGTGCTGCATACAACTGCCTCTTCGCCAGCGCTTCATCTTCCGCGGCAGTTTCACGAGCCCAGAGTTGCAAGCTACGACGTTGGCTTTCGGTGCTTTTGTTACTGCAAAGCAGCCACGCAATAGTCCGGCCTGCATTCCGCGTGCGGCTGTTTCTAACATGCCCACCTGCACAACGCGCTGGCGCACCTCGGCCTTTTCGCCAAAAAAATATATACACTTGTACACGCGCAATTTGTGAATCGCACGCGCGCACCCGCGCGGTGAAATTCGCTCCTGGCTTTTGGGGCGTGATGTACGGACCTTTTATTCGCGAAGTACGACCGGACACATTTGTGCGAGGGGCTGCTTAATGACAACTGCAGCGCTACTGTAAGAGATGTGATATCCTTGGACATCCTGCATGCAGCCAGCTTTAATGGCCAAAGCATTCAATGCTGTGTAAA